CGGGCTGCGCCGCCCGCCTGCGGGGGGGTGCCGCGAGCGTGGCCGGGGCCGCCCGATCTCCTCCCGGGCTTTCGGGGCCGCGGATTAGGACCTCGGCTGCACCCCCAGCTGGGCCCCGCCGGGAGATCCGAGGGGGCGCCCCGAGGTTGCATCCGACGCCCCCCAAGCCAGGATGCGCAGGTAGGAAAGCAGCCCGAGCACGCGGGGACCCCGCGCTGACTTGGGTGCGGGCAGCGGGGCGCGCTCTCCCCCTCCCCGCCATGCCCTCTGAGAGGCCCGACCTGCGATCCTGCCCTTGGAAGCGTCGGATCGGTGATCTGCAGGACGCAGGGACTCCCAGCTCCGTCCCGGGCTGCTGAGAGGATCCAATGAGACGATGCTGCTAAAGCTCTCGCCCTGAGGTACACGTGGGATTCCCCCCCCCCCTGTGTGTAGACGTAGGGTTGGGGTAGGGTGGGGAGGAAGAGAGACTGGCTGCCTCTCCTCCCACCATAATTAGTTTGATTTCTGGTTGGTGTTCAGAAGGATATTTGTGGAGGGGGGGGGGCGTGTGTGTGCCTCCGGCCTGTAATCCTAGCTTCTCAGGAGGCTGAGATCTGAGCATCGCAGTTGGAAGCTACCCGCGGGCAATGAAGTCCGTGAGAAGGGGAGCTGTGTGGCTCAAGTGGTAGAGCACCAGCCTTGAGCGCAAAGCTGACGGGACAGAGCCCAAACCCCTCGTTCAAGCCCCAAGGCCTGGCACCAACATACTTATGTATAAGTACAGGCTGGCTGCTAGAAGTTTGTGTTTGTTTATTCACTGTATATTTAGGGGCACCCCTTTTCACATTATGACAGCTCCAAGGTGCTCAAACATTCCCAGGAGTCTGCAGGGCCAGCTCCCCTTTGAGAAGACGTAGATTCCTTCACCCTAGCACTGCTGTGGTCTGAGCAGTGCCAACCTGACCCCTGTCGCAGGGAGCCCTGGAGATGGGACCTGGAAGGCAGAGTGCACCTGCTGGCACCGGGGACCCCTGGCATTGTGAAGACGCTCGTGGCGCTGGCATGCAGACCCTCCACCTTCAGCACCGATGCCCAGGCTACCGGGCGAAAGCCAGAGAGTCCTATGTGGATGAGACGTTGTTTGGCAGCCCTGCAGGCACCCGGCCTGCCCCGCCAGACTTTGATCCACCCTGGGTGCAGAAGAAGAACAGAAGCAGAGGAAGTAGCACAGGAGTCTCACAGGCGTCCGCAGCCCCGGGGTGCAGTGAGGCCACCCCCTGCAGGGGCAGCACCCCAACACTCACACCAAGGAAGAAGAACAAATACAGGTAACAGCGGGGGACCGGCACTCTGTTCTCTGTAGCCACTGGTTTCCTGTTACAGCCTGTTCTTTGCCTGCTGTGTGACCTTGGGCAAACACCTTGACCTCTCTGAGCTGCAGCTGCTCTGTAGAAAACAAGGCCAATGACCCCCTTAACCCAGGCAGCATTGTGGAGAGATTAAATGTAGTGTTTGGCACAGTAACCCGATACTTAAGAAGGTTTCAGTAAATGTTGGTGGTAGCTGGGTGTGGTGATTTACGCCTGTAACCCCAGCTACTCAGAGATTGTGGAGGAAGAATCTAATGAGTTCAAGACACACTCCCCCCCCATAAAGTTAACTGAATTAGACCCCTCTCAATATAAAAAAGGTTGGGTGATGTGGCCCATGAGTAGGCATGGTTGATGGGCATGAGGCCTTGGGTTTAATTCCCAGTACCACGGGGTGTTGGTGGTTGTGAGGTTGTGAACTGCAGACGTTATAGATGAGGATCTGTGGTGCTTCTGTGTCAGTCTTTGTTGTGGTTGTTAGTGGTGGTGGTGTTGCTTGTGGGGCTTGAGCTCTGGGCCTGGGCGCTGTCCCTCAGTTGTTCAGCTCAAGGCTAGCGCTCCACCACTTGAACCACAGTGCCACATCCGGTTTTCTGGTGGTTCATTGGAGAAAAGAATCTCTCTCTTGCCTGCGATCCTCAGCTCTCAGCCTCCCGAGTAGCTAGGATGACAGGCATGAGCCACCAGCCACCCGCCCTGGGTCATTCTTTGTGCTGGGATTACAGGTGTGCACCACCGTGCTCGGCTTGGTGTCTCTTCTTTTTGGAATTTTTTTTTTAATTGTTATTACAAAGGTAATATAAAAGGGGTTACAGTTATATAAACCAGGTAAAGAGTACATTTCTTTTTTGGACCATGTTACCCCTTCCCTCCCTTTCCCCCAGTTTTTCCTTCCTGTCCCCATCCACAAATTGTACAGTTCATTGCCAACAGAATGTCTAGTGAGTACTACTGTTGCATTTGTTTACCCTCTGTTCCTCCATTTCAGCGTCTCTTCCTAAGCGTACCAGTCCTATTAGATTAGAGCCCCCTTCTTATGACTTAGTTTAATTTACTTCCTTGAAGGCCTTGGGTCCAAGTATGGTCAGATGGTGTCAGAATGTCTGCATGGGGGGGGGGGGTACATTCAATCCATGGCATAAAAAATAGGACCCAGTTCTGGTGTCAGGTGTCGAGTGACTGCCTGACTGGACAGGCTGAGAATGTGATTGCCAGTGCTGACTGACCTGTCTGCTGTCCACAGAGGAGGAGGGAGGAGGAGAGAGGGGGAGGGGGAGGGGTGACGGCTGCCCCTGTGCGCCCCTGGAATTCTCCCCTGGGTGCTCGCTGCTAGAGAGAAGTTAGGCAGCAAAACTCTCGGGGGCTGTGGCTCTTGAGGGCTTTAGGGGTCCTTCGCCCCAGTCACCGTGGTGCTCTTCCCCTGCCAGGCTCATCCGCCACACCCCGACCTTCTGTGATGAGTCGTTGTTCGGCCCCCCGCCTGGGGGGGTGCGCTGTGAGGCCTCCCGGATGGCCAAAGGGGACCCCGCCAAGCTCCACGCCCTCTTCTGGACGCCACCAGCTACGCCCAGGAGCGGCCATTCACCCCGCCCCAGGAACACCCCACTGAGAGCCGTTCACCCGGCCAGCACCTCCAAGACGGAGCTGGGGATGGCCGCTGACTCCCAGAAGTCGTCCCTGGATGGGTTTTCTGTCACCCACCTCAACCGCCCCAGCACCCTCCAGACCAATGGGCCTCTGGACCCCAGGCCTTCTACCGCAGGGGTGGCCTGCCGGCACCCCCCGCTCTCCCCCCGGACTCGCTCTGCCAGTATCTCAGTGCCAGCTGCCCCCCAGCCACGGGCGGCTACCCCGAAACCAAAGCCCCCTTGGAGGTGAAGTAGGTCTTATCACAGAGCTTAGCTGGGCTCCTCTGGGAGACTAGTATCTCCCGGGGACCCCTGTGGGAAGGGGGATTTGGATCTGAGGTTTCTGTCTGGCCCCGTTCACTAACAGTGCCAAGTTTGTCTTGGGCCCCACCCCATCCAACCAGTCAGTGCCAAAGGTTTGCCTTTGGCCCCTCCCACCCTCCAAGCCAGCCTCATCAGGACTTCCTTTCCTGGAGTCTGGGGGCCTGAGGAGTTATCCTAGGCTCTGAGGGCCCAGAAGGCAGAAGGGCCTCCGGGTAAAGAGGCGCAGGTGTTGTTCATTGTAACTTCATGTATTTATTTCTGGATATTAAATGTACCCGTAGGGCTGAGAGTGTGGCTCAGTGGTAAGAGTGCTCGCCTAGCATGCATGAAGCCCTGGATTCCATTCCTCAGTACCACATACACAGAAAAGTCTGGAAGTGGCACTGTGGCTCAAGTGGTAGAGAGCTAGCCTTGAGCAAAAGCAGCTCAGGGATGGTGCCCAGGCCCTGAGTTCAAGCCCCAGGACTGGCCAAAACCCAAAACCATACTAGTAGCTCATTAAAACCTTGAGTGTTACTGTTTTTTTCCTCCCTTGAGGTGATTTAATGAGGCTGCGTAGGACAGTGGCTGGAGAGAGGGTCACGGGACTGTGGAGATGGGCCTCAAGCAGTGCTGGGGTCACTGAACAGCGAGGGCCGCTAGCCCGTCGGCGTGCTGGCCTTCCTGAGCCCGGGCCTGTTCAGCTCTGTGAATCTACACTTCCCGCCTTACAGAGTGGCCAGGACTTGGTGGGGGGAGGGAGGGCAGCCAGTGAGTGACAGGTGTGTGAGTGCTTGGTGGGGACCTGGGTGCTGGGTGCACGGTTCTGCTCTGAGCTGCCACAAGACCCTGGGTGGGTCAAAGGGGCCCAGGTTACGCATGGATCCAGGCTATGAAAAAGAAATTACAGCATGCGTTCAGACAAGTAGACTCAGAATCCGAATCCCAGCATCCTACCTTGTGTGTGTGTGTGTGTGTGTGTGTGTGTGTACAGGGGAGGAGGGCTGGGGGTGTTGACTCTCCTCAAAGCAAACCAGGGAGCTCATTAGAAAAGCCACATCAGCCAGGCATGGGTGGCGCACACCTGTAATCCCAGCAACTCAGGAGGCTGAGATCTGAAGGTCAAAGTTTGATGTCAGCGAAGGGAAGGGAAGTCTGTGAGATTCTTAACTCCAAGTAACCACCAAAAAGTCAGAAGTAGAGTTGTGGCTCAAGGAGTAGAGCACCGACTATGAGTGAAAAAGCCAAGCAAGCGTATAAGACCCTGGGGTCAAGCCCCAATATTGACCCATGTACACACACACACACAGAAAAAGACACAGGCCTAGGATATCTGGGTGATGAGATCTTTCCAAAAAAGGCAGCCAGGTTTGTCTCTAAGTGATAGCTCTGTTTGGTAAACGATAGCGTTAATGATGAAGAAACAGTTCAGCCACCTGGGCACCACCTCCAGCTGCCGGCCTGCGAGCTCTCAGTTGTGCTGGGTGGGGGGGAGCCGGGCAGGGTGGGGGCTGGGGAGGCTGTGGCCAGGGCCCGCTGAGCACACACCCACTATGCTGGGCGGCCATGTCTGGCTGGGCCTGGCCGGAATGGAGGCACTGTGACAGGGGTCTCCTTCCTACTGAAATCCAGCCATGGATTCGCGCCCTTCGCATGCCGCACGGGAGGCAGGCGCACAGACAGCCCTGTAGAGAAGTTTATTTGTCGGGGTACAGAAATGACTTCAAACGTGCTTCAGATTCCAAACGCTGACAAAACCGGCTGTGTCTGGCCGGCGCGGAGCTCTGGGGAGCCTGGCCGCTGGGAGCGGGGCTCATTTCTTGCCTTTGCCCTTGCCCTTGCCCTTGCCACCGCCTTTGCCCGCACCGCCTTTGCCCGCACTGCCTTTGCCCACACCGCCTTTGCCCTTGCCCCGCTTCTTCTTGGACATGAGCATGGAGCGGACCAGGTAGCCCTTCCACACGGCCTGGATGACCGTGGCGGCCTTCACCATCCGCACCATCTCCCGCTCCGCCTCCATCCTCTTCTTGGAGGTGATCTCCCGCTCTGCCCGGATCTGGGAGAACTCCTCCACCAGCACCTTGTGCCTCTGCTGCAGCTCGGCCAGCTGCTGCTTCTCCTCCTTGTGGATGCTGTCCAGCTCCTCGATCTCCTCCTGCGGGGAGGAAGGGCGGGACGGGGCCACCATGGCCCCCAGGTTAAGGGATGGCCCCGTTCTTGCTTTAGGACCCAGCCCAGTGAGTGTCAGGAACAAGGGAGGAATGCCAGTCTAGTGCATCTGGGATCAGATAACCAGATGACCTTGTTTTCTACAGGCTGCGTGTGAAATGTGTGTGTCATCCCTTCCCCCCCCCACCATAGGCTTGGCTGGCTACCAGTTGGTGTCATGGTTGAGAGGAGACTGGACCTCCAGAGCCCCAACTGGGATCAAGGGTAGACTGTTGAGGGGACTGACTGGAGGAAGGAGGCCCCCAGGGAGCCATGGCTGTGAGGGACACATCTTGTCCTCTGTCCCTGCCACTCCCTCTCTGCTCTCTGGCTGCCATCGGGTGAACAGCTTTGCTCTAGCATGCGTGCACAGCCTGGCCTCCTGAGAGATCAGAGCCGGGAGAACAGGAGACTGTGACTAGAACCCTCCAAATCCTTAAGACCAAATAAATCAATGTTCCCTTCCTTTCCAGGTGTTTGCCTCAGGTTTTGTGACAGTCACAGAAATCCAGCACAAGCCCGACTGGCACACAGTAGGGCCACGAGACGGCGACTGACATGGGAGCAGGCAGATCTTTCGGGTGACTGATTCCAGAGTGCTTCCTTTGGTCTAACTACAGTTTCTCCCACTGTAACTCATGCCTCCTTCCCTCGCTGCCTCCCCCTCCCTCCACCACTATCCCCCAAGCATTTGCACAGAGCTGGGAGGACAAGATCCCTGCGCCCAGGACCTCACTGGCCTGCATTCAGGGGTTGTTTGGAGGTGCTGGGGATGAACCCCAGGACCCCCTGCACACCAGCCTCACAAACTTCGATGAGACTTGAGAAATAAGAGTACCACACGGCCCCCCACCCCACCCCAGCGCCAGCCAGCGTGAGGGGTGACCTGCCCTTCTCTGGGCAGCACGTCTGACCCCCATGCTCCCCAGGTTGGGACCAGGGCCACGGGGGTTGTCTCTGAGGTGGGTGGGGACCCTGGGGGGCTCCCACCCCCTGAGCGCTCCCCACAGACCCTATTCTGGGTACACACAGTTTCCAGACAGGTGTTATGGCCTAGAGTCCCCCGGGCTCAGAGGCCAGCTCCGGGGCTCAGATCCCTGGAGTGAGGGTCCCAGGCTGGACAGGCTGGACCTGTCTTTGGCACCTGTGCCAGGGGTTGGGTAACGCTGGCCAAGGCTCTCAAGGAGGGGGCCTGCTCCCCCTCCTGCCTCCCAGCCGTGCAGATAGGACACCAGGTGGAGATGAGAGCAGCCCTTCTCCCAGAGGCCCCACCCTGCTCCAGGCTCATCCCTGCAGCTGGGGGGGGGGGTGCCCAGGGGTCTGGGGGGATCTTAGATCTTCCTGCCAGTTCTCCAGGACCCTGGGGAAAGTACCAAAAAGAAACAAGATTCGATACCTGCTTCTCACCCATCTCAGAATCGTATTTCTGGATCCAGTTCTCAATTTCCGTCTCTACTTTGTATTTTTTCTAAAAAATCCAAAACAACAACAAAAAAGCAGTCGTTAGAGAGGTGCTATGCATGGGGGCGGGTCTGTTGATCCCTGCCCCCCACGGAGCTTCGCAGTTCCCACTTTGCAAGGTGAGACCACCATGGCAGGCTGCCATGTTTCCCCAACATCACAGAGCTGTAGGTGGGCAAAGCCTGTGCTTTGGCTCCAGAACATTCTAGGCAGAGAGACCAGCAGGTACAAAGGTCCTGGGGTAGGAGTGGACTCGTGGCATTTGCGGAACAGAAGTTGAGCCACTGTGGCTAGGACGGCGTGGCCAGTGGCAGTGGCAGTTCACTGAGCTCCGTTTGTCGCAGCTTTCCATCTGGAGTGTCACTCCATTCCTGTCCCCGTCATGTGATCATTGTTTGTAGCCCAGATGGGGCATGCTGCACGGCTGGGGGCGTCCTGGCCCCACGGTCCGGTGGTCCGCTGCCCCGTTCTTGGGCCTGGGTGCTGTCCCTCCCGCCTCCCAGGGGCTCCCTGCTCCCCACGCCACCTTCCTCAGCGCCTGCTCCGCCTCCCAGTTCTCCATGGTCAAGTTGTGGAACTGGGATCGCAGCAGCAGCACCTCCTGCTGGACCTTGGCCAGTCTGGCCTGCCCTGCCCGGAAATCTATCTTCTGCTGCTTCTCCGCTTCCTGCTTCGTGCGGAGCAGCGTGTTCTCCGAGAACCTGAGCACCTGGTGGAGGTGGTTCTTCAGTTCCTGGATCACGAAGTTCTCCTTTTCCACCTGGGCCAGAGGGACGAAGACTCCATTAACACGCACCTGCCTGCAGGGCACTGGGGCTGACGCCAGCCTTCCCAGCTACTCGGGAGGCTGAGATCTGAGGATCGTGGTTCCAAGCCAGCCCGGGCAGGAAAGTCTGTGAGACTGTCATCTCCAATGAACCCCCAGAAAACCACATGTGGAGCTGTGGCTCAAAGTGGTAGAGCGCTAACCTTGAGCGCAAAAAGCTCAGGGACAGCGCCCAGGTCCTGAGATCATGGCAAGCCCAGCCTTTCTGTGACAGAGGAACCCACATCCACTCTGGCTAAGCCAGTTTATTTCTGGTGTCTGTTACATCAGAGAAAAAGGTTAAAAAGTATAACACACAGGATGTGTCCAAAACCTGGCTATGACCAGGTTAGGGAAGGGCGTGCGTGTGTGTGTGTGTGTGTGTGTGTGTGCATGCATGTGTGTGTGTGTATGTGAGTGTGTGTGTGAGTGTGTGCCAGGACTAGGGCTTGAACTCAGGGTCTTCCACTCTTGCTTGGCTTTTACATTCAAGGCTAGTGCTCTACTGTGGCTTTTTAGTGGTTGATTGGAGATAAGCGTTCCTTAGACTTTCCTGCCTAGGCTGGCTTCAAATCATGATCCTCAGATCTCAGCTTTCCGAGTAGCTAGGATTACAGGCCTGAGCCACAGTGCCCAGTCCAGATTAGAGGTTGTACTGTCATTTCCCTTGTTTATGGTGATTCTGGGCTTTGAATGCTGGGTCTCACGTCTGCTAGGCAGGTACAGGTTTGGCCCTTTTTGCTTTAGTTTACTTTTTAGATAGTCTCTCACTTTTTCCCAGGAATCCCTTGGGCCTAGATCTTCCTACCTCTGCCTCCCATGTAGCCTAGCTTACA